TTCGCCATGTTGGCCAGGCAGGTTGCGAACTCCTGACCTCAAGTGAACCGCCGCCTGGGCCTCCCAAAGTACTGGGATTACAGACGACCACGCCCAGCCCCTACCCGCTTTTTTAATCCCTACTGCTGACCCGGATGAGCCAGCGTCACCATCTTACAGTTAATAAAGGAGACAGGGAAATTGTAAAACAATTACTAGTAGTGACTCGGGCGAGAAAGAGAAGAGGCTGACGTGGGCCCCATTGGGAAAAGAGGGTCAGACACAGTCTTACCGAGGAGAACCCTGGCCCGAGGATGAGGAGCAATCCGGGGAACTCTGTCCGAAGCGGCCCAGGCCAAGGAATATTCCAGCAAGGGGGCGTGGCTTGTTGGAAGGGCGTGGTGACCGTTATGCAAATTTAACAGTCCAGGGAGCAGCGCGGGTTGACCGTTATTTTCATCTTTTCCAGTTCTTCTCTATCCCGTCAAATATTTTGAACATACTTGAATTCTTTTACCATATAACACTAATATATCAACAGTCTTTGTACCAACACAGTCATAAAATACAATTTTTACCATTTTTTTAATAATGGAGAAAAGTGCCATGAAGGTAAAATGTGCCCAGAGCCCACAGAAGTCATAATTTCCTCCTGCCTCCGAAGCTCTCTGTGGCGTTGTCATCTTCCTGCATTTGCTTTGCTGCAGATTGTTTTTGACACTCGACGTTATGTCCTGAGACTCCTTGATCCAAGGTGCATTCAGGGATTGTTGAGCCCAAAACTTACACGAGGAGTAGAATGTTATACAGAAGCACTGCAATATCATTTGTAAATACACAGAAATGAAAATTAATGCTTATTTGCAATGAATAAATAAGTACAAATTACAAACTTCTAAAGCTGATGAAGCCATAAATATGGACGGGCGCGGTGGCTCACACCTGTAATACCAGCCTTGCCTTAGTAGAGATGGTGAACCCCCATCTCTACTAAAAATACAAAAATTAGCAAGGCGTGGTGGTGGGCATCTGTAATCCCAGCTAATTGGGAGGCTGAGGCAGGAGAATCGCTTGAATTCGGGAGGCAGAGGTTGCCGTGAGCCGAGGTGGCACCACAGCACTCCAGCTTGGGAAACAGATGGAGACCCTGTCTCAAAAAAAAAAAAAAAACCAACGAGCACTTTGGCAAAAATGGAAAAGCCAGTCCTCCAATTAACATGGAATTGCAGGGGGCTCTGAATAAACAAACACTCTTTTGACCAAGGGCCCTTAGAAACATCCCTCCACCAGAAGTTGGGGGTTCCCCTCTCTGATATCCTGCCCCCCAAATTTCAGTAGCTATGGATTTTAATTTCTGCTCCCTTGACTCAGTGAGTCCATTGGTCTCCATTTGGACTCCACTTCTCTGTGGCATGTTTGGGAAATTGTACCGAAGTAGAGAACTGAGGTGAATAAAGTTCTCAACAGGCACGTTTTCCTTGGTGCAATCTGTGCTTTCTGTTGTGCAAGCTTAAACGCACTTGTCTAGTTTGCTGTTGTTCGTTTGCTGGGTTGTTGTGTTTTTTTTTTGAGACGGAGTTTTGCTCTTGTCGCCCAGGCTAGAGTGCAATGGCGCGATCTCAGCTTACTGCAACCTCTGCCTCCCGGGTTCAAGCCATTCTCCTGCCTCAGCCTCCCAAGTAGCTGGGATTACAGGCATGGGCCACCATGCCCAGGTAATTTTGTATTTTTAGTAGAGATGGGTTTTCACAATGTTGGCCCAGATGGTCTTGAGCTCCTCTGCCTCCCAAAGTGCTGGGATTACAGGCATGAGCCACCATGCCCAGCCTATTACATGTAATTTTAACACAATTTATCCACTCACCATTCAAAAGGAGTGTTTCCATTTTGGCTCTTATGAGTAATACCTATGAACATTCATATTTAAGTTATTTTGTAGATCTATATTGTCATTTCTCTTAGTATATACCGAGGGGTGTAATTACTGGGATGTATGGTAATTTAATGTTTAACTTTTTGAAGAATTGCCAAGCTATTTTTCACAATAACTGTACCACTTCATACTCCCATTAGCAATGTATGAGAGTTCTAATTTCTCTACATCTTCTCTATCGCTTGTTATTTTCTGTTTTTTTTTTTTTTTTTTTTTTTTTTTTTTTT